GGGGGGGGGGGGGTTAAATATGCATTTTTGCTTAATTCCATAGACTTTTTCATAGCTTTAGACACAAGGACTTTTAAACATCCTGTACAGTAAAATTTTCATATGAGTCTTTTAACAAAATCAACAAATAGCATTCAAGGCTTTTTGACCCATTTTTTCTTGTTTGTAGTCAGAGGAAAATGTCAGAAATACAAATAAAAGAAAGTTTTTGAAAAATCATCCAGTAGGTTTTGAGGGAAAAGTACCCAGAGGTTATGAAACGTTTTTGAGAAAAACCTGTTTGAAGTTTTGAACAAGGGTAAGGATTGCGTCACTCCTTGCATCAAAAAATGTTGCATAACTTATTCAATAATAATATGATTTTTAAATTCTTTGTATTGAATTGCTGCTGAGGATGTGCAGAATACAATGAGAAAAAAATTACAATCAAAATTCCATAAATTGATTTCTGATAGGAACTATATAAGTATTCACTTGAGTGTACATCGATATTAACTTGTGCAAATCTCTCACATCACCCAAGGAATAAGTAACCTAAGGTAAATTCAATTCTAACTGTTAAATCTCGGAATTGCCCAGCTATTTTGCGAAAAATATATGTAGTGTCTTCCTAGTCTGGAGTACCCTATTCAGTATGCAACAAAATCTCTATGAAAACATAATGTGTTGTTTTTTATTCCAGAAAACTTGTCAAACGAAGAGAGAACTTGGGAAGAAATCATGAAACTCAAGACTTTACCAGTCAGCATGGCAGAAAAAAAGGAAATGAAAGCTCGACTTCTGGTGAGTAATCTTTGATTATTCTTCACATACTAGAGAAAAATCACTGACATTTTTAAGAAATCATATTAAATAGTTTTCTGCATAGAAAATAAGATGTGACAGGAAGTCAGCAATGCCGCAAACCAGATTACCTATCTACAATTTTACCATTGATATCTAACGACTCAGTCTATTTTAAAAAATTATTTTTCAATCATTTAGAATTGTTTGTTTCCTTTCTATTTATAATTTTTTTCAAACATATTTCAGAGTGCTGAAACTTTTCGTCTGCAAGGATTAGATCAATTAAGATGGCAAAAGAAGAAGTGTTGTTTGCGGCTGAAGTTTTACTACAACCAGATAAATAGTTTTTTCAGCATCTGGGACCTAAAACTGCGAAGATTAGAGAAAGACTGTGGTACTGGCATTGTTTCATTTTTTACTTTTTTTAAGTCTCTTATATTTTTAAATTATGCAATGTCCTGGTTCATAATTAAATTACTTGTAATTCCAGTTTATTTTCTTCAGAAGCATAAAATTGAGGAAAACGATATTGCTGCTGATAATGATAATAGCACAGAAATCATTGACTTCTGTCCTATAATTTATCAAAATATTTCAAATTCAGCAGAGCTAAATTTTGATGTAGGTACAGTCTTTAGTTTTATTCAGGGCACTGGCTGGATCCAATCCACGCCTCTGTTTTATGGAATGTATCCTGCAGAAAGTATTCCCCTTTTCAATACTAGAATAAATCTTGCAATAATCTATTTGGTTGTATTAATGTGTTATCATGCAGGCTTTTTTATAGATCTTGCCAAAAAATTCAAAAAGAGCTTCAAGCAACGCCTGTTAAAAAATCAAGGACAATTTTATTTGTACTGTAACCTTGCATTCAGTAGTTGGGATTTTAGCATTGCCTCAAAAAAAGCAGCTCTTGCTCGTCACAAATCTGTATTTTCACTGGTGCGAGAATTTTTGAAAATCCAACGTCAGAAAGATGACAAACAACACCAAACCACAGATGAAAGCTGTAAGCTTCTAGTCATTCGATTTACAGTGAATTTAATTGTGCTACTGATATATTTTTGCTCTGCTGCAATAGTCTATTACACTATACAGCATTGTACATTAATGAGGGACGTCACGCTAAATTATTATCAAACTTTACTGAATGAGTATCTACCCGCTATGACTATAGTAACACTGAATCATCTAATCCCTTTGATTTTTAATTATTTCATAAAATTTGAGAGTTATAATGCATTCTGTACTCAGCATTTATCTTTCATTCGTGCCATTATTCTCCGTCTTTTATTAGTTAGTGTGCTATTTTTTTCTATTTTTACTGTGGCCAGCTGTAAACCAAATAAAAGTGAGTGTGTAAGTTCTAGTTGTAAGACACCTCTTTGCTGGGAGGTGTATTTTGGACAACAAATTTATAAACTTTTAATTTTCAATTTAGTTGTTGAAATACTTTTAACATTTTTTATCAATTTTCCAAGGAAATTACTCGCTAGTCATATGTCAAATAATTTTGCACAATTCATCGGTAATCAAACATTTAATGTGAGGAAACATATATTGGATATTGCTTATATTCAAATGATTTGCTGGTCAACTGCTTTCTATGCCCCTCTTCTTCCAATGTTAACCACCTTTGTTCTGTTCATCACCTTTTTTCTGAAGAAATTTGCGTGCGTAGTAAACTGTGCACCCTCCGCAAGTTTGT